GCCCAAATTAATAGGCTTTTTCTAATGAAATGGGGTTAGTGTAGGTCAACTCAATCTTCTCAACAAGACACTTCAGCACTGGTTAACCATTCACTGGACAACGTTGTGGAATGTTGAGTCAAAAAGGACCTTCGCTGACACAGAACGCTAAAATCTCCAAATTCCCTAGTATACTTTGTTGTTATTCACAAACACACTTTCCTAGTGCTACATTTCTGACAAACAACCAACCTATTCATGAATCACGATTCACATCTACAATTTATAATAACGACAAACAATAATTTCACTTTATTGCTAAATCAAAAATCAATAAACATTATAAGAAAATAGGACAAGAAAAACCCTAACCCCAAATTCATATAGGGTTCTTCCATGAGCATAAACCAAATCCATTGCCGTAACAGTCTTCTTCCTCTTGGCATGCTCGGTGTAAGTAACAGAATCGCAAATCACGTTCTACAGAAAGATCTCGAGGACGCCACGAGTCTCTTCGTCGATGAGGCCGCTGATACGCTTCACAAAGAATGGCCGGCTTCGTTATTCCTTGATGTTGTCGCGCAACACCTTACGGCGTCGTTTTTCTCCTCCCTTTCCCAAACCCTTACCTCGCTTTCCATGCCCGACATCTTCTTGCTCGCAAAATCTTGTGGGAAGGAAACTCTGTTTGAATTTATATATGGTGTAGAGTTGCAGCGAAATGTTTGTGACCGTTGATGGTTTGTTAATGGACGGTTCAGATAGTGTTTGGCGCGGATTCCTTCTTTTGGCGCCTTATAGCGCCACAGAAATTATCTGAATTTTTGTTCAAAATTTGAAAATGTAGCTAAATTTCACTGTATGAATATGGAACTCAATTTTAGAACGAGTAAAGAAAACAATGACTGACTATAAAGATATAGTAAATCGTTTAATATAGAAATGGTGCAATTAAGATAAAATATAAATATTTTTTATTTAAATATAAAATTTATAAATAAAAATATTTAAGTATTGAAGAGAAAAATCTAAAGCTGTCCAGATTAATAGGCTTTATTGACTAATGGAAAGGGGTTAGTACTGTGAGTCAACTCAATCTTTCTCGAGACGACACTTAGTTAACCATTGATACGACACCGTTGTGGAATGTTGAGTCAGAAAGGACCTTGGTTGATACGAAACGATAAAATCAGCATTCACAAGCACACTTTGCTGCTGCTACGGATCGCTGTGCAATGTCTACATGCTTCGGAGTTTCCAGTGTTGTCATTCTAACAAACAACCACCCTATTCATGTCTCACAAGTACCATTAATAATCACGAAAAACTAAACTTCTCATTATAACTTAAGTTTAATCTTTTTCTTTTGTTATTATTACGAGGTTGTGTGGTTATTAACACAACACTTTAAAGGTATTCAAAATAACATCCCATATGTTTTGTTGTGTTTATCCCAACTATTATAGAGAGATTGCTAGATACTATAAGGAAGCAAGATTCCTCGAGTTTCAGTGTTCCATCCCATGACGAGGATAGGTATAAAAGGTGCTGCTCATGGCTACATTCTATGACTTTTTCATTTCATCCAACACCATACTACAAAAGAATAATTTAATTATTGATGCAACTTTACCAACAGACTTTTTTTTATTATCAATTTAAATTATTGATAAATTTTATTGATGAATTCTAATATTTCAATTATAGATTGATATTGTTGATAAATCTATTTTTGTTGATAAAATCCATTTGAAAATTTGTGGATAGTTGATAAAACTTTTTGGTAATTACATAATGTATAAATTTATTGACGAAAAAAAATAATGATAAATTTTTCATCTAAAGAAGGATAAGATGAAGAAGAAGAAAAACATGTCTAATGTATATTATAATATTAATCTAATAAGTGAATGAATATATTTTTTTAATGTGTATTAATAAACTCGTATAATTTGTGTTTGGACAAGTTTATCTGATGCATATAGTTAGACTCGTTTAATCACAAATGAATTGTCTAATTTGTATTATTAGACTAGTATAATCAATTCATCGACAACCCACTTATTCAAAATATCTCATATATATTATCAAATTCGTCTATTTTTTTTTTCTATACTCATTTAGTGTACGTTTATAGACTCATATAATCAGTGTATGTTTTATATTTATTTCATGATAATATAAATACATTGATGATATACTTTTAAGATAATTATTTTATTAGTTTTTAACTTTTGTTTCAGGCATACTAAAGTTATAAGTTGTTGCATTTGAATTTGAAAATACTAAAAAATGAATTTAAAAAGGATAAAACAAAAATAATAATATTAAAAAATTTGACTTTTTTATTATAATTTTTTAAAAACCTTTGAAAAAAACTATCAAGTAAAACAAAAAGAAAATAATAATAAGTAGTTTAACATTTTTATTACAAGTATGTATACTAAACTTTTGAAACGAATTATTAAAAAAAAAATTATTATATTTTAAACATAATTATTTAAAACCTTGTACAGAGTTTTATGTACATATAATTAATTTAATTTTTATTGGATAAAATTAATTTAATTTTTACATGCTACAAAAAAGAAATATTTATATTATTATTTGAGAATGATAAATATTTTTTTATTAATAATTTTTTTAAGACAAAATTATTTAATCATTTTTTTATATTTTATTACCAATAAACATATATTATTTTTAAACAATATTATTTTAAGAAATAAAAGTAAACTATTTTTTTAAAATTTTAGTTTTATTAAGTGACTATAAGTAATTAAAAATCATACAGGAAAAAAATAGTATATAAAAATAATAATATTTTAAATATAAATTATTCTTTAACATACTAAATATGTTGAAAATATGTTATAAAAAACATTTAATAAAAGTTAAAATGTGTGTAAATGTTTAAAGAACTATTATATTTTTATTTTAAAAATCAACTTACTTCAAAAAATATATATTAATGCAATATGGATTAAAATGTATATCTTTAATTTATTATTTAAAAGAAATTGACATAAGATTTTTATTTTTTTATAATGATCAACTATATATTGTTTGACAAAAGAATTTCAAGATACTAGTAAATTGTTCAGAATATTAGAGTTTAAAATAAATAAAAAACATTAATTAAAATTAACAACTAAATTGTGTTAGTTATATGAATAAATTACTATTTTGTTATATGGAAATATATAATATTAAAAATAATTCTAAATTTTTGTGATTTGATACGTTTAAGTAATAAATTTAATTGCTCAACTTAACATATATTTTTAAACATATTTATTGTTATTATTGGTGTTTTAAATATTGGTTTGAAAATTTTAAATTTCATAAACTAATGACATTAATAAAATGAATTAAAGAAAATATAACAAAGTTCGTTTTTTTTATTACAAATATATGTATATATTTATATATTTTAATCCTTTAAAATTAACTATTAAATATAATTTTAATGTAAAATTCTATATAAACGTGATTATTGTAATTATTTATTAGGTAATATGAATTTAAACTTTACATACTAAAAAATGAAGAATATTAAATAATGAACATATTTATTATAATTTAATATAATTGTTTTATTGTTGATAATTTTCTTTAAGTTAAAATTATTAATTATTACTATTTTTAAATGATAGTATTTTACAAAATAAAATTACAATGTAATTTTTAAATTTAATTTTATTAAGTGACTAACTAAGTAATAAAATATCTTAAAAGAGAAAAAAAATGTAGTATATGAAACACAAATCATAAAAGTATCAAATAACAAAAATACTGACAATTGAGACACTTATCAACAAAATAAAAATAAATAACAATGGATAACAAAGTAACTTTCCTATTTTATTATATTATATTAGATATTTTATATTAGTTTAATTTTTACATAATAATGATTGATTACCAAAATAATTTCATGCATATGTGACAATAAAAAATATAAATAAAAAATTAGTTTAAAATAAAATAAATGAATAAAAAAGTAAAATAAATTCTGTGCACTTGTTACAATCAATAAATAAATAGTTTTAAAATATAAAAAAATAGAAAAAAAATAAATTCAAATGTGATTATAAAATAAATATAAAAAATTAAAAATAAAATAAATAAATAAAAAGATGAAATAACTTTCATGGCAACACAATAAATATAAATGAAAAATTAGAAATAAAATAAATAACATAAAATAACTTCTACACATATATGATAGCAAAATAAATACAAAAAATGAAAAATATCAAACGACTGAAAAAATAATAAATTTATTGAAGATTCCTTTAAATTGATTAATTTTTTAAAATATATTATAGTTGTGTCACACAATCCAATTCTTTTATTAATGAAAATTTATATAACAAATAGGACTTCGAATGTTTTATTTTTGGATTAAAGTTTTGTTTTCTAACTGAAGTCCTGTGAAACAAGTACCACTTCACCTAAAAAAGATAATTGAAGTGATACTTATCATATATAAGTTTAGTTTAAAAATAAAACAACAGAAATTGTACTCAATTAAAAAATACAAGTTAAAAATTATCTTTGGTATCTGAGTTTAAAGTAATTTGGCAGATGAAAATCAAAGTCGTGTTATCAATTTATTGAATATAAAGTCGTGAATCTTAAATATTATTTAGAAATCTGTGTATTCTAATAACTTATATACGAAATCGCATCAAAGCAGTGAAAAAGGTAAATTGCTTACCCTTTTGGTCCGCTTTTCATCCTGCTATAATCCAAGGGTGACATGTTTCTTTAAAGTAGAAAAAAGGGTTCTTGATCGAGTTTTAAAGACAAATTCTTAGCACTCCATTTCTGTCCAAAATCCACTGTAAAGAAGTGATAGGTACATCACACCATTCTCAGGAACAGTTTTTTTAATCTCTCATATCTTTTTTATCTTTTTGGGTATCAACTTTTTTATTTAATTTACTGCTTCTTTCTTCTTCCATAAAGGAAAATAACTTTAGTATAAAATTATATAATTTATAACATACATGACACAGTAAACCCCAAGTACAATTTGTAAAAGTTTTTAACCAAACAACACAATGCTGCTGCTGCTACTTAGGCCTAGTCTAGAAAAACATAAAGGGCACTAAAACTTCACCCCAGATTGAAGTCTAAAACTACACATGGTCACATCCATGATTCAAATAAGTAAGTACCATATATTTACATTACCCAAAACATTCAAAGCATACAAATTAGTCATCTAGCCATGCTGATTTAAGCATGTAATTATTTTAATAGAAAGCGCCAAAGGAGGAACTACTGCCATGAGGTTCCTGACCAAGATTTGCAGGAACTATGGAATCAAAGAAATTGGCCCAATTCTCTTCTTCCTCGTCCTCTTCCTCTCCGGTACCCATATGGCTCCACTGAACCGGAGGGTTCATTGCAATTTCCTCATTCTTTGCAAATCGCCCTCTGATTCTTGGCCTGCTATCTGCCAATGTCTTCCTGCATGCATACTGATTTCCAGAATAAAACAAATTAATATTTATGTTATGGTTGCATCATGACTAAACACTGAACAGTGTTGTGGTGGACCGATATTGCTGTATACAGTGTCTTATTTGTTTCTTTCCTCCTAGACGTTACAGTAATGGGGCTACTAGCTAGTTACACTATAGAATGAGACAGATATGTGAGAAGATTTTTCATGCTTTACAAATCAGACATTTCAGGTCCGGTTGCAACACACTAACACTATAACATACACATATGAAGTCACTATTTTAATTAATATCTCCTGTGCAGCCTACAGGTGTCTATCGTGCAAAGATCATGAGCGAATCCTCGCGTTGAAAGAATCACTAATTCGATCAGGATGCGTTGAAAGAATCACTAATTCGATCAGGATTTGTCAAACCCTCATATGATTTTAGCATGATATGATACAACCTTGTATAGGGCAATATGGTTTTTCAGCAGCAACTTTCCTCTTCATTTACCCATGATGCTGCAGTTTATTTCAAATTCGTCCAAATCTCACTTTCACTTTTTTTCTGATATGAAAAATAATATTCTCATAGTTCGATGGTGCATATTCACTATTTCAAGTATTGTAGTGAGATCACAGTTGTAATATAAAAGTTTAATTGGCTCAACATAAATTTTATTATAAAACTGTATCTGAAAAAGTAAAATAAACTGTACCTTAATTTTCTTGCCGAAGTTCCTCTGGTTTCTCTTGCTCCTATATCTCTCAATCCTCACTTTCTTCTCCTCTGGGCTATAAGGACTGGTTCTGCTCATTTCTTCTATGATCAAGCTACTTTCACTCGACAATGGACTATCTGAATGATGATAATATTGCATTCCATGAAATCTCTGTATATACAAAAGATCACCCAAAAATCAATTTGCATTACAACAAAATCATTTACACATGTATTAAGATTTCACTTCCACTTTTCTCCAATTCCATAATCTCCAACAAAAGCAAAGTTTAATTTATACTTTATGTTTTAAACCAACCGCTATCTTCTGTGTGCATCACTACAAATACAGTATATTAAAAAAAACTAACCAAACAGGGAACACATTAAAGGTTCTGACAGTACACGAAAATAAGTAGGTATATTCAGTGAACCAAACAGCAAAAATAACTTCAAGTTTTCTGTCATGGAGTTGATCATTGTTGTTTAAGTGGTGTACTAAATAAAATTATGAGCACTTTAATATTCTATTATATTATATATATATAAAAACAAAATCTCAAAAAGCTCATAGATCCAGGACAATTACAGTGCTTCAAATGAAATTGGTCTCTTTCTCATCAGACTAACGTGCGACCTGGACAAGATTATAAATAATTTATATACTTATTGATAGATATACATCTTGAAAGTTTAAAATTAAAATTTCAAAATACTAAAATTCAAATATATAAAAATGAGTTAAAAGTCATAATTTGAGATGTCAGGTTGATTTTTTATGTTGTTTTTGAATTAGGAAGAAGTCTTGTCTCCACAATTCACGTATTACTTTTTTGTGAAATGCCAACGTACGATTTGAAAGTGCAATTTGAAGTATAATTAAAAGTGCATAATATATATGTAAGTGCGTATTATTAGTGTAGTTAATAAGATGTGCGTTTATAATTAGCGAGCCAAAAAAGGAAGGGACCTGAAGGTCACCGGTACTGCAAGCTCTCCGTACGGGACCGTTGTGGGAGTCAAGCAACTGAGCGAAGAGAGGAGAAAAGGGGTGGTGGGGCCCACCACTGTTCTTCTGCAGCGAGTGGCTGCTTACGCTCCTTTGCACTCGCCGACTCTCGTAACTCGCCAGCGAACTCGGCGACCCCATGTAGCTGGTGCACCCGCTGCTGCAGCTGTTGTACGTGTTATTCGAACTCGCCTCTGAATCAAACTCGCCCAGGGCAACTTGGTGGTGCTGCGGCTGAGGAGCAGCGGCGTACTGCATTGGCGACAGCGTGGATGCGTCCTGCGGAGAGAGAAAATGGGAGAGGGATTCGGCGGAGCGTGGGAGGGAGGCGTTGCTGTGTGTGTACATGGCGGCGCGTGCGTGGTGGAAAAAATAATAACTACTTATGAGAGAATTCTACTATGATTTGTAGAAGAGAAGAGAAGAAGCTGAAGAGTGAGTGCATTGGAAACGTGGAGTGGTGGGTATTTAATATTTTTCGATGTGGGATCTGCGAAACAGAACAAAACAGAAAAGCCCATAGGTTTTCAAACTTCATTTTTTTCTCTTTGGAAAATATTAGTGTGAGGCCGAGACTAGACGTGACGATGATGTCACCATTTCAACCAAGAGTTGACTTCCTTCTCTCCCTAAATTTTCGATTATTTTTCTTTAATATTAATATGCAATTATTTTTAAAAAGAATCTTATAATGTTCTATTTAGTAATAAATTTAAAACTTCTCGTTTAAAAGTAATTTCATCGTGTAATAGTTACTAAAGACCAAGCATGTGTTTTATTGCCTTAACCACGATCGAAGTTTAAACAAATTTAATCAAATTAAAATTTGTGTATCGTGATTATAATTTTTTGTTTTACGAAAAAGTAAGATATATTAATATTTATTGTATTAAATTGATTATTTGTCATATTTAATTTGTAATCAGGATTATAATAGAATTTTCTTTCTAAGAGTGTGCATGAAATCCTTTAATATTCAAAGGATAAGACAAGTATGTGGGCTAGTTAATTTGGTCTCACTACTTTAATATCTAATTAATAATTTTTGGCAATGCTTGTGATATTTTCATCCACCACCTTTTCATAAAAAGGACATGGTAGATATGCACAATAGGAGCCAAAACTAACCTAGGTTCCTCCTACATACCCATCAACTTTTTCTTATAGGGACAATTGAAACTACTTTTGCTAAAACAAAAAGGACCAAGTTCAAGCAAGTTGAGATTAGCATGAGCAAAACTATAATGTAAACATATTGGGTTATTTTTAAATCAATTTCAATTATTCAACTTTATATTTCATATAATAATTTTAAACTATCTTATTATTTAAAATTTGGAAAACAAAAACATACATGTATATATTCTGTAAAATATACGACGCATACTGATATTTATTTGTACTGTAGTTTTGTGTATATTTCATTGGACTGTACAGACCTTTAAATAGCCATAAACTTAATTTTTTTCCATCATTTGAAAGTAAAAACAGAAACTATACAACAATAGAAAACAAAAAGTGATAACATATACAAATAGAAAAAACCTGAAAATAGAATCTTAAGTATAATTACAAATAAACCTTAAAATTTAAGTTTATCCCAACCTATTCAAATAAAAAATCTTTATGGGATTGCACTATAAATGGCAATTCTTCACTTTTTTTTTGGCAGTATTAGACTTCCGAATATTGTATATGAAGATTTTATTGTTTAGAAAATTTGTTTACTAATCATAAAATCAACGAAGAAACCTAAAATGATATGATATCTATTGATAGGTGACATGGTTATGTCCTCTTTGAATGTTGTTTTTGAAATATGAACATCGTATTTTGCATTACCTTATTATTCGGTTGAACCTTTTGATAAACAAAGCAATAAGTTTGTGGGTGACACAAGTCAAATAAGATCGTGATTACCAAACACCACAAATTTACTCTTATAACTAAATTTCACTATTCAGCTATTTCCTTCATTCTTATTTACGAGAAAAATATGATTTACTTAAATTAAAATGTTATATAATTGTATCGAAACCTATTAATATTATGTTTTCTTTGTTTTTTTATTTGCTTTAATGTTATTTTACTATAATCAACTTGTAGTAGAATGTCTTATTTTACTCAATCAGCTACGGCATATAATAAATACATGTATGTATATAACTTATTTTAATAGAGTACACAGAAGTATAATTGAAAAAAAAAGAAGTAATTAATGTGATGTTAAACTTTGCAAATAAAAAAATCAGCATATTTTACAGAAAATATTATTAAATAAACAAAAATAGTTGAAATTTATTTATATTGAGAGATTCAGTAAATGTACATTTTTTTTCTTATAAATAAAAAAAAAGATAATAAGAAACGAATTCGTTTCTTATTACATAAAACTCTCTCGATATGAAACAACTAGTAGATAATTAGTGACTAAGAAATTGTATCGATCTAGTTAGAGAATCCGGGGTAAAGGTGTTTTCTTTACTAATCTTTATACAAGAATATTAATTAATTTGATTGGGCTTGAGTCTAATTAAAGTTGACTACATGTTTTATATTTTAATATATAAAATAATTAGTAAAAAATGATTAAGTGTTTATTTAAAATTGTGAAAAGGAAATTTAAAATTAATGGAAATACAAATATTTTCATAACTTTGTTCACATTTTTTATGAAGATAACAAATAATAATAAATCTTAACAGAGTTAGAAATTACTATAGTAATCATTGGTTTATTCATTGTTGTTTAAATTATTCACCTCTTCCCTTTTTTTAATTAGTAAGTTTTTTTTTTGGATTTAACAAAAATTATAATTGATTTTATATTAATTATTTTCATTTTCAGGTCAAAATAAATCCATATATATATAAGTCAAATAAAGTAATGTAAATAACGAAATAAGAATAACATGCATCAACAGTTTGAAGGACGTATTAATAGCTATTAAAATTAAGATTTAAAATTATATCTCAATTAAATTTTTTTAAAAAAATTGTCAATAATATTAACGACTTGTCATGGATCGGTCTGTTATTTTTTTAATTATTTTTTGTAAAAATCTTGTTATCACTGTCAGGTTTGTGGTATATAATGTCACAAGATGTAAATATCAAATAAGAATGATAACAGGTAAAGTCGGATTAGGCATGTATAATTCCTACCTATAACAACAAAAATTCACTCATGATACTACATATATTTAAAAATATATATTTTATAAACTTTTAAAATAAAATATAAAAATATATATAATATAATAGAAGTTAAATTAAATATAAGTTATTTCATATAAATTTTTTAATTTTTAATTTTTTCTTATATAGCAAGTTATTGTTTGTGAATGACAGACCTACATATAAGTAAGGGTGAATAGTTTTACTCCTTCAATCTTCTATATTTATTGTCAAATATATTATATTTTCACTTTTTGTAGTTCTTAAATTTATATATTATTGGTCTTTCTTAATTATCACACTTATAAAGATACAAATTCACACATAACTTTAAATGAAGAAGTGCATAAAGTTTTTCTTTTTGTTTTTTTTTAATTTATTTTATTTTGTTCTTCTCATTATGCAATGAATCTAGAATGGGTGGGGACCAAAGTAGCATCTTCAAGGTAGGTCCTATAGAATCGTCTATGTCAACTCAAAATTTAGCACGCGTATCATTTAAATAAAAAAGAAAAAAAAAAAAAGTGACAAAATTATTTGCCACCAAGACTTAGATATATAGTAAATGAAAATATAAAGATCTTGGTCATGAGATTTCTTAATAATGGCTCAGTCAATTGGTAAAATATAAGTCTAAAAAAATTTGTATGAATCTTTGATTATTATTGGAATTTAACTCTCATAAATAAAGTTGAAAAAATTGAAAAAAAAAAACTCATAAATTTATTATCTTAAAATTTCAGATTAAAAGTAATGTTAGTTTTTTATGTAAATTAGATTTATGTCTTATTGAAGTTATCTCTTTTTTTTTCAATTTTTTTTTGAAAGATTTATAAATGATATCATAATAAAATATTGAAAATTGACTTAAACGAGAGAAATTAAACAAGCATGTTTTGTTATCTTGGTATACTTCACGTTACACCAACTTTCGTCCTTCTCTGTCACCACCACTTGGTTGTCCTTACATACGTAATCAAAATTTTTTCTAAGTTACTTGGCAAAGCACATGCAACACCTGAAACTGAGAGAGATTCGATTTTGCATGTGAATAATTTAGATGTTTTGATGATGAAGTGATGGATGTTAATAGAAATTGATTGAAAAGAAGTGGCTCTTCAAAGATCAATCAACGTGAGGATCACGGAATTAGGCTAACTTAGCTTCCTACCCTTTTACCACACTTTTTCAAAATGAATACAAAATTCAACAGATGATGAAAAAACAATAGATTTCAATGCCAGTAGTTGAAAGATTTTTTATGTGAAAAAATCAAAAATCAAAAATTGTAAAAAAAAAATACACGACACAAATTTATTTCCTCACACTTGTTGGAATCAGATTTGTAAAGGTTTGACGTTTATTTCTACCAAATTAATCTGGAATATCTCTATATGTTTTTTTAGTAAAATTATTCTTATTTACGAATTATTTTTTCTCTTCAACAAATAAATGAGCACAGTATATCAATTTAGCATCTTACAAAGAGATGTTTAATGATATTTTCTTCGAATATTTGTAAGTATATTTATATCTTTGGGTGTATTCACCTGGTGGAGATGATTTGAGGGAGAGTGAGTGGATGAATTTGAGGGTAAAATTTTTGTTGTTTATTTAAGTGGATTTGGAAGTAATTAAGAGTTGATTTATAAGTAAAGTTTGAGAAAATTAGTGTAAGATTTGAGTGATGTGACAGATAAAAAATTGTTTAATTGATAAAAATTGAAGATTACCAAAATGCCCCTAATTATAAAAGTAATATAAAATGATAATTAATAATGTTATATTTAATTGTAAAAATGTTTATAAAGAAAATAAAAAATAATTATTAAAATGTAAAAAATGGTAATTTAGTAAATTGAAATAATAATAATAATAATATCATTATTTTTTATTATTATCATTATTATTAATTGTTATTAATTATTATTATTAGTTATTATTATTATTATTACTATTATTACTATTATTAGTATTATTATTTAGAGAGATGTTTTATTCATTATTCATTATTATTTTATTAAACAAAGAAAAAAACATCACAAGTAAATTATTTAAAAAGTGCAAGGTAATATAGTATAAGGGTTTAAATCACTCCAAATGTTTCCTAAAATGCAAAGATGAGAGTGAATAGCAATCTCACACATCTATCTGTGTTTTTCCTTTCAAATCAGTTCAAACGAACATGAAATCACCCTTAATTTCATCTTCATTAATCCGCATGCACAGTGCAATATGCTCAAGTGAACAGACCATAAAACAATTTGTTTCGCTGTTCATTTAGAATCTTACAATTGATAGGAATATATATTATTAAAATTAAAAAGAATTTAATATTATTAACTATTTTAACATTTTTTAAATCTTAATAATTATTAAGAATAAATTTTAAATCTAATTCAATTTTCTAATCGATAAAATTTATTTTTATATACATTTATGTAATTGGTCTTATTTTTTTTTATTGAGACTTTAAAAAATAACCTAATATTTTTTATCTTAAAAGCTTAATTAAATTAATCCAAATAAAAAACCATAGAATATTGAGGTCATAAAAATATTGAAGCCATATTAAAATATTAAATCTTTTGTCCCATAGTATTATTAGTGAACATGAGTTGACTTGAAAATATGAAACATATAAGACTAAAATACTAGCATGTCACTCTATCAACAAGGATTAATTTCAAAGAATACAATAACCAGTTTGAAGGATTTCTATGCATGCTTAAATGAACAACACACATTATAGATCTATTTTTAATTTACAATATTGTATAAATTTAACCTTTGGTTCCAAAATTCTACAACTTGAGATAAGTTTATCTAATTAACAACTTTTAGAATCTAACTAGTTACTGAAAAATTCAGTACAGATATATTTTTTAATTAACATCAAAAGATTAAAACAAATGGAAATGCTTTATGTGTACATTTTAACATTTGATTTACTATCAACGAAGAAAATGTGAGTTTTTTTATTAAATTAAAGTGAGAGAAAATTAGTAGAGAAAATCTTTTATTAAAAATACGAAAACTATGTTGTTTTACCTAAGTGAAATATGTGTGAATATATATAGATAAAATACAAGTATTTAATAGAAAAAATTTTGTGTTTTTTTAATTGTTCCATTCCGAAGGTATTGATTTTAAGGCTGTACAATATATTGATTAACAATATTGGCATAATAAAAGGATTTTGTGACTATTATTATAACCAGACAATAATAGCTTTGTATTTTTCTTTAGAGAAACTAACCTCGACATCAATTTTGTCATTCTTCACCTACAACATAAATCAATTAATGTCATTATATTAATATAACTTAATTCTACAATCTGTTTATTAGAAAAATGAGTGAAACTTGTCATGAGTGAAATAACACATAAAAGATAAAGGCGAAAGGTAAGAAAAACATTTTAAAAAGATCTTTTATTAAAAGTATGAAAATTGAATTGTTTTATGAAAATGAAATATATTTAAATATAATGAGAAAAACACTGAATTGTTTTATAAGAGTGAAATATATTTAAATATAATGAGAAAATACAAATAACAAAAAGCTAACAAAAAAATATATAATATATTTGAAAGAAGATATTAAAGGTATCACTCGAAAAATCGTACACAAAAAAGAAGACAAAAACAAGACATGTGATTTGAAGAAGTAAACGACAACCACAAATTAAATTAAATAACCATATTTAAAAATAAAATACTATACTTAAATATCTTCTGAAAATACTATACTTAAATATATTCTGAAAATACTATACTTAAATATCTTCTGAGAATTGAAATGAGTATTTAATACTAAGGTCATCAAAAGACAGACGAAGTAGATATTATAAATAGTTTTAGTTTTTCCTTTATTATATTATCTATCTCTCCTTTTCACTGTAATTCAGCGAAAATATATTAATCATACATGTATATAAGTCATGTTAGAATTAAAATAATCATAAATTCTTATCTTAATTGTTCTTTGAGTAAGAAATGTGTTTTGGGTATAGATATTTTATTCAAAGCATTTTAAGTTGTCCTGAAGATTAGATAATCTCCTTAATGATTTTTCATCATCAAAATCATGTTGTTCGCTCTCTCATTCTTGTCCAAACCGTGTGAATGGATACCTCTCAAAAATATTTCGATGTTAAGTTAGTAATATAACCAACCAGTTAACCTTTTCAAATGCGTATCCAATTTTTTCACATCAAGGTTATGAAACCCGAGAAGCAACTCGGTATTATCTATGCCAATTGCCATGTAGCTAATAAGCTCGTGGGTATTGAGGTTCCATAAACGGTTTCCTAATATTTTACTTGAAGCAATTGTTTGAATTCTTTATGATATGCAAGTGAAACAAGTTTTAGCTAATGATAAAAATGGAACTTTGAACGTGGGGCTGTTTCTATTTTACCGGAATGTTTTGAATTGGCACCCCTCGATCGTATTTTCCCACAACATGTGATGCACATAATGTGCATAATGATCCTAAAGTCATGGATCTTTATTTTTAATAGTTGTGATGTGTTTTTACCTTTAGCTCTGATGCTTGGTCCTAAGACAAATACAAAAAATATATTAGACATCCTATATATGATAAGATAGATTTTTAGTACATAAGTAGATGTAAATATTATTATAAGTTTTATAAAATCAAATATTATATTTAAATAAATTTATAATATACGAAAGAGTGATCATCTTATAATATAATTTTGTAAGATTGAATAAGATTTAAAATTTGATTTGTTAGAATTCTTAAAAATATATACGAATAGGGATCTCATTGGTTTAAGAACATTTTCCACTTTGCTAGCATGCAATCATGTGGTATGTTTGAGTTGAGGAAGTGGAGTGGGGTTATGCTTATATGGAAAGTTGAACTTTTGCAACGATGAAATGAAGTGGGTTCTCACCTTACATGAAAAGTTGAACTCTTTCCAATATGGAGAAGACAACGAAACTTGTTATGGCCCAAGGAGACTCTTTCCATAGGTTTGTGCCCTCTTTTCAATAAGACATAGTTTCTCCACTACTATCATTCATTCTTTGACCTTCTTCCCAGTATATTCATTCGCTAATTAATCATCCTTTCATATACTTTTACTAGGACCAGTGTGTTTTGATACCTGTTAATTAAACGTAAAACTTTTATTCAATTAACCATCCATTTTATGTCATTTTACACTAAACCTTCAAACAGTAGAAATACATGAAAAAACTATACTTGAGACCATCTTTTCAACTTAGTATTTATGAAAAAAAAAATTGTTTTAACAGTTTCTTAGTCAACCCAGTAATATATACATATGGTTTGGCATAAAGTAAACAGAATTAGAGTGTTAATACGAGAGCAACAACAATTAATTAAATGACAAGAACGGAATAAATGTGGGGTAATGTGTGCATAAAGCATGCGTCAGTAACATTCTTTTTTTTTTCATTTTTTTACGGAAGACGACTTAAAATTTTAAGTGGTGAGTGTTTCGTTGAACAAAATCAAGAAGGGAAACTAATTTCCACTCTTTTCAAAGAGAAAAAAAGGAAAAAAGGGTAAGATTTTCTAATTATGATGGGATCGATAATGTTATGGTCATTAGTGACACTCCTTTTGATAGACACGTATTCGGCATTTTGAATGCATAATAGTTTCGTGAAAAATAATGGTAGAGTTACGTATATTAACAGAGATCATTATAAAAAAATATAATTTACTTATAAATAATTAAATCATAACAATACTGAACAGTAAAAGGGTAAAAGTATGTTATCTTCTTTGTTCACTCTGGCACACTCTGTGATGGTCATCGTTCAAATACTGAACAGTAAAATGAGTCGCAATATAATAATCAAGTGTAACCACAACAACAACATAAGAAGATGAAGAAAATTCTTATCGTGAGTATTAGTATTAGGGAATTCTAAACTTTATTATTATATATGTTTCACCACTTATCGGACCTACCTTAATTTATGACTATTAAAGATTTTTATGTTATTATGTTTAGATTTTAGAGATTTTATATGTATGAATGAATACTGTTTGTGTGTTCTATTGTCCTATGAATATTGTTTGGATATTATAATGTTTGATTCATAAGTATTTATTTGATATAAGATTATTGTTAATATGTTTACTTTTATCAATGTCTAGATCTCTATAATTGTTCTAATAATCTGTTTTCAAGAAAGTTACATTTTATCTATAGATAATATTGTTTTATCAACAGATTTTGTGATTTACCTATGAATTTTAACCGTAGGTAATGACTTTTTTTTTAATGGATCAGAAATGATTAAGAAGTATTATATATAACATAGAAGGTTTAAGAATTTTATATCATACACGATACATGCATGTATATATATATATCCACAGAGATACTGTATAGAATACAAATACAGTATTAGCATTTTTGAAGCCGGTTTAATTTACTAGGGTAAAGCCAAAAGGGCCTGTGATTGCTTCTCATAACGAAAACCATTTCCCATGGAGTCATCAGCAGACCAGACAAAGATACCATGAAGGTTTTGCTGAGTCTTTAGCGTGTGACATGCTGTAAAGAAGCCATCGTTCGGGGCCAAACCGCCACTTCCATCACTGATGAAACTCACCAACACCTTTCCACCTTTGTAATTCGAACTCTGCGTGTTGAAGTAGTCGATGAACTGTGCCACACTGGTGCCCTTGTCGTACGCATAAAACTGAAAGTTAACGTAGTCTATGAGGTTCCCGTAACTCTTCCACAAGGCCAGGTAGTGGCTCTGAACTTGGTCATCGTCAAAAGGAGCAATGGAGGCAAATTCTATCACCCCGTTCGATTTCAGCGTCTTGATCACCCTCCCCACACACTCCGAGAACGTTTCAGGGTCCGTTTTGAAGTGCTCGTAGTCGATGTCGATTCCGTCCAAGTTGTACTCTTTGATTATGCTTGTCAGTGAAGAAACGGCGTTGGAAACCCAGGAATCGATCGACGAGGGGTTGAAGTAAGCGGAGCCTCCTCCGACGCTGTCTCCTCCGAGACTCAGGGCTACTTTGACGTTTGAGTTTTTCGCCTTCACGGCTGAGACTTGGGTAGGGTTAAGGTTGTCGGTGTCCCAGAAGACGTTGAATTTTCCGTTTGTTGGAGAAGAGGTTGATGAGGTGTCGTAGTCAATGGCGAAGGAGAGAATGAAGTGGAACTGGACACTAGGGTTAATTGGAACATCGGAGAACTTAACGTTGTTGAACTCCGCTCCTATGTATTCTCGGAATAGGTTTGAAGTTGGGGTGGACATGGTTTCTGCATGGGTTGATGTGAGTAACACGAAGAACAAGAACAAAGGTTTAAAACTGATTCCGGTGATGGAAGTTTTCATTTTCGTAGAAAAAGACTGAGTTCAGATGCTGTTACTGTTATATGCTTGGTGATGATTGCTTCATTTGATAAAAGCTTATATATAGTAGTTTATGGATAGAGTTTATGAACAAAGAGAGGATGGAAAAATAAAATAATTGGATGCATGTCGTGGCTATAAGGTTGTTCTTTCTTTAAAAAAAAGTTGAATTAAACTATTTTAATTTACGTTGATGCTTGATTTGTTTTAATGGATAACAAATATATTTGACTAATAGTAAACTTAGAATAAAATGTAATCTATCTTATCAGAATTTGAAAAAAACAAATAAAGAAGAATGTGTATATTTATTAGAAAAATGAGTTTTTATCGTACTTAAATTTTTTACATTAATTTCATACTATTTTTCTCTATTTTTTATTCTCTCATTTATTAAAAAGATAAAAAAGATTACATTTATGATTATTTTATTATTGTATTATGTCAAATAAAAATATGTTACCCACTCTCAAAAGAAATTGCAAGTATAATCTACCTAAAAAATATACATAAAAAAAATATTTTTTATAACTTTCTACCACACATAATTTTTTTTTATTTTCATAAAAAAAAAGACATGTATGAAGTGACTCCTTTCAATTGTCACGCCATTTTCAGAAATTTACGATTTTTCTCTGGTAAACATGGTTAATCTCCAAAATTTATAAATTCAAATGAAATTATATTTTACATTTTTAAGGTAACAAATTTAACAAGGAAAACGAAAACGACTGATTTCGAAGTTTACATTTTTTAAATGTATTAAAAATAATGGTTGTTAAATGATATACATGGCCAAGTAATGAGATAAGGAGAATAAATTTGAAATTAACAACTAAAATATATAAGTATGGAAATATAGAAAACAAATTTACACAATAATAATTCATGATTGAGTAAGTTTACAGTGAAGAATAACTCTACTTATTTTAGATAAAAAATATATATTAACTCGTTTACATTTTGATCTAAAAATTCTACTTAAAATTACCCCAAAAAATATAATAAAAAGTGAAGTTGAGTGAAATAATTAAAAAAATAAAAAGAAGTAGAAGAAAAAGAAAAAGTAGTTAAGAGAATTGGGTAGGTGTTGACAAATAAAGAAATATGTAGCAAAAGAAAAAATTTAGGATACAATCAATTGAATGACTAAAGTTACAAAAATAGAGAACATGTTTGTTTTTGGTTTGTTAGGGAGTACACGGCAACCTTAACCTAAATTATCTTGGAAGGCAAAATGTCTCAATCCTGAATTCATCAAAATTTCAACGTCAAATCCATTTTTCTGGGCAATGAAGTTACTTGAGAATGTAACAAAATAAAAGTCTTATATTATTATAAAAGCTGTTATGTTGAAGCATTGCAATCCCAATGTTAATAAAATCAAGAAAATTGGGCCCACCTTTCTGTCTCAAGCCCAATCCAATCCCATTGTTCTTCTTTCCCAGCCCAACAGTCTCCTCCATTCCTAGATATTTTTATAGAAAAGATTTGTAGACCAAAAGGAAAGTTCAAAATGATGCTACCAATGAACCATAAACAGAAACAATGCTGCTTGCCACCCAATTTGGTTTGTTTCTCCTTAAACTACTCAAATGCTTTCTGTTCATTGCTGACATTACACAGGTTAAAAAAAATTGGCCAGTCAATCTAATTCATCACAAATTTGAGTTGGATTAGATTAAAGAATTATAAATTTTGATTAAAGTTGGATTAGATTAAAGAATTATAAATTTTGATTAAAAAAAAACTTGATCTATTAAGATTGTGATTTATCTAGATTCAATCTACTGTAAATCAGATTGATTCATTAACCTACTACAAATTCTAAATATTAAAAAATAAAAATTTTAAATATTTTTATATCTCTAGATATTTTTAGATTGAATTATATTTTTGTGATTTTAGACTGTATTTAAAGTTTAATGTAATTTTAGGTGTCTTTGATTGAACTTTATTTATATTTTAATTAAAAAAATTGTAATATATTTTGGGATTGAAAAATAAATTACAATTAAGTAAATTCGAATTATAATGTAAAATTTTGAAACCAACTATTATGTTGACCATAGTTAAGAGATTGGCTAAATTAAAATCCGTGTACTTTTTAAAAGGTTTTATTAAGTTAGAGTTATTTCTTGGATATTTGGAATGAAGTTCTTGTTAAGTTTTGTCTTTTATTTTTAATGTATCTGAGTGTACAAAATTATTGTATTTTCCAATTGATAATCCATGAAATTTTTCATCTTTATATTAGATTTTTGTAGTCATTTTACTTCTTTTTACATGTTACTAAGTAAAATTTTATGATTCATATAAATTAATATTATATGCAAAATGATAAACAATTAGACAAAACTTCTAATAATTTATATCATGTTACCTATGATGAGTATCTATTTATGTGTCCACTTTTTTATTTAAAAAACAAATTATAAAACCATTTTTTTAAAAATAATTATAAAATAAATAATATTATATATATATATATATATTATTAAATAACTAATTATTATAAATAATTATTTTTATTTAAAAATTAGCTATTAAAAAATAAGATGTTAAAATAGTTATTTTAATTTATAAAATAATTAAATTTAGATTTAAAGTGTAAAAATAAAAATATAATTATTTTAATTTAAAACCATAGTTACTTAAAAGAGTAAAATTGAAAAACAGATATAGACACTGCAAGAGAAAATATTTTATACATGGATATAGATAAAAATAAATAATTGATTTTTTTTTATTATATTAATTATTATAAATTACTATTTATATTTAAAAAAGTATTTTTTAAAACAATGAAATATTAAAATAATTATGCTATGAAATAATTAAATTTAGGTTAACGGTGAGTGTATAAAGGAAAATGTAATTATTTTAATTTAAAATATCAGTTACTTAAAAAATAAAATTGAAAAGAAATGTGTACACACAAAGTAATAAATCCTGTTTATACATAAATATATAGGTATAAACTAATTAAAGTATCATTTCAAATTAATTTCAATAGTTCTTTTTTTTACATAGAAAGAAGTAAATAAAAAACTTAAATAAAAGGATAACACATTTCCCAATTATTTAAATGAATTTTAACCTATTGAATGAAAAATACTTACTAAAAAGTTATAAGCAAATTTTAAATATTCAATCACCAACAAATTAAATAAAAAATAATGAAATTCATAAATAACTTAAAAATTACTTAAATATCTTCTTAATCATCGATGTAAATTATAACCATCAATTTAAACAGTAGTAGTAAGAAACAGAGAACTAGTGAGTTGACTGTTAAAATTTTAATTTTTTTTTAAAAAAAAATCATTAAAGAGGTTTTGATTATTGTGTTTTTTTTTTGTGTTGGATGTAACGGTCGCGTGATGCCATAAACGTCCCAGGTTTAACGCCGTTATCCTCGCCCAGTATTTTCCGATTACAGTACTACTGTTTTGAAACGTCTTTCCACGCGTAACAACATAACGGTAACGCCTCTTTCAGTTTCCATTTCTTCTCTGTTTCCATTTTCAGTTTCTCCCTTTGTCTTACCTTTTTTTCCAGCTTCCATAACAGAGACACCACTCCCTCCTTCTCTCTCACACACTCACTTATTATATTATTTTTCATCTCTCAAGAATAAAGTTTCTGACACTGCAAAATTCCATCTGAATAAAACAACCTAACTAACTGCACATTCTAAGATAACCATTATTCTTCTTTTGGATTTCAGTTTCACACTCCTCCACACCACACATTTTGTTCTTCCATTGCTTCCGATTTCAATTCTTCAACGAGGTTTCAACTTCGAATTTGTTAGGTGCAATGGAGCTTCAGCAGAGAAGAGGAGGATTGGTGCCGTTATCGCCGTCGCATACGGCGCGCTCAGGCGACAAGCTGGCGCGAGATCTGCGACCTGCGGATTCTAGTTCCAGTGGTCACAGCAAGTCCGATAAGGACAAAGGCGTCAATGTGCAGGTTCTCGTTCGATGCAGGTCGCTGAGTCCAACTCCGATTTTCACTTCATTGAGTTCGGTTTGTGCATGACTCGTTGAAAGTCGCTGATGGAATTTATTTTGCTTCTGCTTTTGTTCAGGCCGTTGGGTGAAGATGAAGCGAGGTTGAACACGCCGATCGTGATTTCGTGTAACGAAGGTAGAAGAGAGGTTTCGGCTGTGCAGAGTATAGCCAACAAACAGATCGACAGAACCTTCGCATTTGATAAGGTTTTTTCGCGTTTTGCTTTTTTATATGATGACTTTTTTGGTAATGCATACTTCGAGGAGTTACTGGTTTTATTGTTTGGAGTGTGGATTACTCTGTGGATTTTATGAATTGTTCGTGCTGGTGAAAGTATTTATATTCTTGAACTGATCGAGTAGTAGTCACTTGCCTCGTTCTCTATCCATCATAAATAATAGTCATGGCAACAAACTATTACTCTTTTTTTATCTTTTTATTTGTGGATTCTTCACTTGAAATCGTGCATTCATCGGGATTCTGTTTCTTATAAAATAGGTTTTTGGTCCGAACTCCAAGCAGAAAGAACTGTTTGAGCAGGCCATGTCTCCTATTGTGAATGAAGTGCTTGAAGGCTATAACTGCACCATTTTTGCTTACGGTCAAACAGGGACAGGGAAGACGTACACAATGGAAGGAGGTGCAAGAAAAAAGGTAATCTTTTTTTGTTTGCATAGCTTTTTATAGTATGTCTTGTTGCTTTGAGCTGAATCTGTTCCTTTCTATGTTTTTGGTTATGTAGAATGGAGAGTTTCCCAGTGATGCTGGTGTCATCCCAAGAGCTGTGAAGCAGATTTTTGATATATTAGAATCTCAGACTGCCGAGTATAGCATGAAAGTAACGTTTCTAGAACTTTACAACGAGGAGATAACTGATCTTTTGGCCCTTGAGGAGACTTTAAAATTTGTGGATGATAAATCTAAGAAACCAATAGCTCTCATGGAGGATGGAAAGGGGGGAGTTTTTGTTAGAGGTTTAGAGGAAGAGGTTGTTTGCACTGCAAATGAAATTTATAAGATATTGGAAAAGGGCTCTGCGAAAAGGCGAACAGCTGAGACTCTTCTGAACAAACAAAGCAGTCGCTCCCACTCCATATTTTCTATCACAATTCACATTAAGGAGTGTACTCCAGAGGGTGAAGAAATGATTAAATGTGGAAAGCTAAACCTTGTGGATCTTGCAGGCTCTGAGAATATTTCACGTTCGGGTGCAAGAGAGGTATGAAATGATTATGGCATTTATTTTGGGCAGTGTCCATTCAAATGATATAATTTGGAACAGTAGACAGCTTTACTAATCTGATAGAATATTAATATTGGAAAAAGTACCCCTCGTCTATTTAGTCATCTTCAATTCTGATATTATCTTTAGGTCACTTTTATTTTTTCTTGACATTTTTCTGACAAGAGTAAAATGGTATTGCCTTTTTGAGCTTCACTTGTGAGAAAATACTCGCAGGGAAGAGCAAGGGAAGCTGGGGAGATAAATAAAAGCTTGCTTACTCTAGGTCGAGTGATTAATGCTTTAGTGGAGCATTCAGGTCATGTTCCTTATAGGTAAGAGTGACTAACGTTCTGGCTATCTCTCGTTTGCATCTTTTGATTCTATTTTCAAACCCGGAGAAAAAAATGCTTTTGTATTATCAAGTTGTCCCATCATACCAGGGATAGCAAATTAACAAGATTGTTAAGGGATTCCTTGGGCGGTAAAACCAAGACGTGCATCGTTGCTACAATATCACCTTCTATTCACTGTCTGGACGAAACTCTTAGTACCTTGGATTATGCACACCGTGCCAAAAATATCAAGAACAAACCAGAGGTGATTTTCATTGTTCCTACTTTTCTTTATAAACCTTACAATGCTTTTTTGTTTCTTATCACAGATCCGCAATGCAACATATCTAATAGTTTGGAGTTCAATACTTTGTCAGATCAATCAGAAGATGGTTAAATCTGCACTCATTAAGGATCTGTATTCTGAAATTGACAGGCTGAAGCAAGGTTGTCCTGCGTTTACAAATATTTTGTTAGTCACCTTGCATTGTCCCTCCTTCAGTTTTCTCTAAACAGAGAAATTTGCACCATGTTAATAAACTACTTTTTATGTCATAGTTCTGTGCTGGCTTTTTTTTTTTTTATTATTATTTATGTGGTTTGCAGAGGTGTATGCTGCAAGAGAGAAGAATGGAATTTATATACCGCGTGACCGTCATCTTCAAGAAGAAGCGGAGAAGAAGGTTTCTCTGACCGTGTCTTAATTAGAATAGGGAATAAAATTATGCTTTTGAGACATTACTATTGCTAAAACTGTATATTCTATAGGCCATGGTTGAAAAGATAGAACGCATGGAACAAGAAGCAGAGTCCAAGGATAAGGTATTTTCGGTCGTAAATTATTACAATATAGGTATAGTCACTTGAATATTGAAAAGCATCTCATTACTTGTGAGCAGCAACTGATGGAACTTCAAGAACTCTACGATCGTCAGCAACTTTTGACAGTCGAGCTAAGTGATAAACTACAAAAAACTGAGGTAAAAAACGTTGACAAGAGATGGCTGTACACTAACTGATTTTTCTTTATTTTGAACTTCTGATCTGGTTCAAGAATTAAATTTACTTATGGTTCATATTATCTCAGAAAAGTCTTGAAGAAACTGAGCAGTCATTATTTGAACTTGAGGAAAAGCACACACAAGCAAATGCAACAATTAAGGAAAAGGAATTTCTAATATTTAATCTACTGAAATCTGGTTAGTGAAGTTAATTGTAACTCCTATTCTGTATCAACCAGCTGTTTGAATATACCCTTACCATACTTTTTTTTGGTTGGTTGATCAAAATCATTTTCTCCTCATTCCAACGTGTGATTTTTCTCCGTTCTCTGCATCTTCCAGAAAAAACACTCGTGGAGCAGGCAATTGAGCTACGATCTGATCTTAAGAATGCTGCATCCGATGTGTCGAACCTGTTTTCTACAATTGGTTAGAATCATTTTTCAACTGGTAGTTTTATTGGGCCCCAATTAGAGGGAATAACTTGACATCACATAAATGGTTGTTTTTAAACTTTAGAACGGAAGGATAAAATTGCAGAAGGAAACAGATTACTTATCCAGAAATTCCAGTCTCAGTTAGCTCAACAGCTAGAAGATCTGCACAAGGCTGTTGCAGCATCTGTAATGCAACAAGAGCAGCAACTGAAGGCAATGGAACAAGATATGCACTCTTTCGTATCAACAAAGGCAGAGGTGGGTTTCCATTTGCAATGATGCTTGTTATTTTTCTTATCAGATTAACAAACTTGTTATTGTTTTCCTCTTTCAGGCTATTGAAAATCTTAGAGTACAGGTAGGAAAACTAAAAAATATGTATGGTTCCGGCATTAGAGTTTTGGACAATTTAGCTGAGGAGCTTAAAGGAAATAACCAGTTAAAATTTGGAGAGTTGAATTCTGAAGTAGCCAAGCATTCATCCGCCTTGGAGGATGTAAGTGTCTGACACTTTATAAGTTGATTGATTCAACGTGAGTTTCTTGGTGCATTTACTATATTTTTTGTTCTTCAGCTGTTTAAAGGAATTGCATTAGAAGCTGATTCATTACTGAAGGATCTTCAAACTAGTCTCCAAAAGCAAGAGGCCAAGTTAACTGATTATGCTCGACAACAGGAAGCGGTGCGTGATTTCTTGTATGTTGGGTGAACTTCAGAGTTAGAGATGTTAAATTCTATTTATTGAATGCAGGCACATGCCAGAGCAGTCGAGAATACACGTGCGGTATCTAAAATAACTATGAACTTCTTTGAGACATTACACATGCATGCATCCAATTTGATCCAAATTGTGGAAGAATCACAATGTACCAATGACCAGAAATTGTACGAACTTCAAAAGAAGTTTGAGGTGACTGAAAGTGCCCTTCTTTTGCGGAATTTGCACAAATCACGATTGGAAATTTCTTAATACTCCTTTGCCTTTTAACATTTACGCGTCTCTTATTATTTATTGGGTGTAGGAATGTACTGCATTTGAAGAAAAACAAATGTTGGAGAAAGTGGCAGAAATGCTTGCTAGCTCTAGTTCTAGGAAGAAAAAACTGGTAGCGGTTTCTTTTAGACAGTCTAATCTTCCTTACGCTAGCTTCCGTTACTACCTGACTGCAGTTTCTTACCATCTTTATTTGCTTGTTAGGTCCAAATGGCAGTTAATGATCTCCGAGAGAGTGCAAACACTAAAATCAGTAAGCTTAGGCAAGAAACATTAACCATGCAAGATTCCACTTCTTCTATTAAAGCACAATGGAAAAGTCACATGGAAAAATCGGAGTCCAACTATCATGAGGATACTTCAGCGGTAGAATCTGGAAAGAATGACCTTGTGAAGGTTCTCCAGCACTGGTATGGAATATGGATATTTTGTTCTTACTATTCTCTTGTATTCACTGAGCACCTACCCTAACCAAACAATTGCACAGCCGCAAGAAAGCCGAACTAGGCGCACAACAATGGAGAAATGCTCAAGAATGCATACTTAGTCAAGAGAAGAGAAATGCTGCTTCTGTTGACACTATTATTCGGTAGATTTTTCATTCCTTGCTAAGATCAAAACTGTCACTAAGTTTTTTTATCTGCTAATTTTTTTTACACTGCTTTCGAACAGGGGAGGAATGGAAGCTAATAATCTCGTACGAGCCCGATTCTCAGGTGCTGCGTCAACTACTCTTGAAGATGCAGAAATAGCAAACAAGGATATTAAATCTTCCATTGAACGTAAGTACTAGCGTTCATATCTCTGCTATGCTATGCACCACAAAATACCTTGGTAGATTATGCCACAAATGTCACTTGACAAATTATTTATGCTTGCCAGATTCATTGCAACTTGATCGCGACGCCTGTGGTAATATAAACTCTAGGATTATCCCATGCTGTGGTGACTTGAGAGAATTGAATGGTGGTCATTACCATAGAATCGTAGAGATAACTGAAAATGCAGGGAAATGTCTTCTCAGTGAATACGTGGTAAGGGACTTCAAGTACCACTTAGTATGCATATACGTATAGATTCTGGTAACGAAAAATCCTTGTGTGTGGCATCCTTGTGTGTGGCATGTCTTGTGGATTCTAATATTGTGTTTAAACTGCTACATGAAATACAGGTAGATGAACCATCCTGTTCAACACCCAAAAAGAGACCCTTCAATCTGCCCAGTGTTTCGTCCATAGAAGAACTAAGGACCCCACCATTTGAGGAACTACTGAAATCATTCGGGGATTCTAAATCTTCAAAACATGCAAATGGTGACGTTAGATACATTGGGGCATATGAAGCTGCACAATCTGTAAGGGATTCCAGACTTCCCCTTATAGCAATCAACTAGAGCGGTCAAAACTCTGTAAATAGTGTTCGAATGTATTTCCACACAAATTACAAATTCGTTTATTTTTTATTTTGGAAAGAGAAAGAAGGAAAAAAAAACAGTAATATATAATTTTTTTTAATACAGTTTGGTTCCACATGGATACATCTACTGTTGATGTCAACTGACATTGGATTATTATATGATTTCGACATGCTTTTGTTGCATCTCAAACCTTCCATGAAAATTCATTGAGTGAAAAAGAAAACAATTTGATGGCAGGGTGTTTAGAAAATGGTAAATTAAACATCTCAATTTATTTAATTCGAGAGTTATTAACATTACATAATATTCTTTGCTGGGGTGAACACAATCATCCAATGCATTAACATTGTGATCTTAATAGATTTGAAACATATTACAGGTAAAATAAGAATGTTGTTAGATGCAACACAACTTCAAGTTAGCTCCGTGATCCGTATAGAAGGAGCTATACGTAAATTTTGATTGTTAGATTAAATTAGATAACATGATAAAAAAAAACATTTATGTAATATACGAAAATCCACATAATCTTAACCAAATTTACGCCTTAAATATTTTCACATTCTATTCTATCTTCTCAAACAAATCAATGTGCAACAATTCTGCATCTCTAGCAGTAGAATACAAGCAGCCACCCAAAATATGCAGAACGTAGTATATACCTGATTCTCCGTAAAAGATCTTAATGCAACTTGTAATTTAATACATTATAGTATGCAAAAGCAATCAAACATGTGCTAAAGAAGTATATTAAGAGTTCAAATAATAGTTAAATGTGTCATAGTGAGAATAAATAAATAAATAATTGAGTGATATATAAGAAAAACAAAATCTACAAACATTAAGTTTTATGGTTTTAAATTAAAAGTGGTCTTAGGTCTTTTATTACGATCAATCTCTTCATTTTATTAAAAGTTAAAAAATTCCAACAACATCAAAGTGAAATTACAATCAAAATTATGCTACTTTATGTAAGGATCATCCCAAACCATTGATTTGTCCACACATTGCCTTGCATGTAAGCATGATGATCGACATCAACATTTTTCCTGCATTAACTTACTTAATCCATTAACTTACTCAATCCTTCCCCCAACAATTGTATAAAGGAAAGGCGAAAATAATTCATTTTTCTCAAACCATTTTACATTTTCAAAGCTGCAAGGCACATCCAGCTTAGGTCTAACTAAACTAATTTACGTCGTCCTTGAGTTGTTACTTTTTTTAATTAAGAAAAGTTGTATCTTGATGATTAGTTATAATTTTCTAGACTTTTTAATATTTATAACAAATTTTTAGTTGTCATATTTGGAATATTCTGTACATAATGTCAATGAAAAAAAAGTTAAAAATAGTTTATTTTTTGAGAAATGAGAATAAACAGATATATAATTGTATTGGCTTTAATTATCCTAGTGGAGATTGTCCACTTTTATTTTAGAATAATTAAAAAGTAGTATTTTTCTTATTATTATTAAAATAAAACATATTATTCAATTTAGAGAAAATATACTTTTAAAAAGTAATCATAAAAGCTATTTTTTAATAAACGAGGGAAAACACATGTTGCATGTTTATAACATAATAAATTATTATTATGAAATTAAATATAAATGATTTTTATAATTTTATTGTGAATCATTTTTATTTATTTTATAAGTATTTTTACAGCTAAAAAAATAATTAAGTTTAAGAAAATAGTTAAATTTTAAGAAACTATAAAATTAATAAAATAATTTTTAATTTAAGAAAACATTTATTTAAGAGATAAATTTGAAAAACAAATACGAACATCAAAGAAGAATTTTTGTATAGATATAAATGTTTTTATAATTTCATGGTAAATAATTTTATTTATTTTATAGAGGTAATTTTACAATTAAAAAATATTAAGTTTCAAAAAACGATCAAATAAAAAAATGATTAAATTTAACGAAAGATAAAATAATTATTTTAATTTTAAAAAAATATTTAAAAAATTTGAAAATATGGTAAAAAAGAGAATCTTTATATGCATAAATTTAAATATAAACAAGAATAAAATTGATAATAAAATATATAAAACAAATGCATTGAATAAAAACAATTTCTTTATTAATAGATATAGATATTTAAGTAAATTTTGAGCTGGACTATGTATATTACATTATTTGAACAACATAATCTCAGTCATAAGAATATCTGTATGATCTACAGAAATTGTAAAATTGATTTAATTTGTTTCTATTTTTCCTAATAAATGAAACAGTAGAGTAGAAATTAGGCCCAAGGTGATTCAATTGGGAACCCTATGTTTTGGAACAGAGCGCAAAAGTTATACATTTTATAAACCTTCTCTCCTACTTTCAAACCCAACCCAATCTCAACCATTGATTCTCTGTTAACTCATAATGTTAGTTCGTTTTGGAAGTTTTACCTTGTTTCTTCTCGAAGTTTGCAGAGGTTTTCATGTTATTTGTTTGGAGAAATAACGCCCCTCACACTACACACAGAGCTTCTTTTTTTCTCACACTACACACAGAGCTTGGTCTTCGCCGACACTGCACACAGAGCTTCGTCTTCGTCCACTGCACACAGAGCTTCTTTTTCGTCATTGTTGTCGTCGCGTTCGTCTCGTCGCTGCTCCTGCGCGTCGCGGTCGCTGCTCCTCCAATCATCCTCCGCTGCGCGCTGTAATCGTTCTCTCTCTAAGGTTAGGTTGTTTACTTATTTTTTTTTTATCTTCCTTTGTGGGCGATCTTTGGTGTAAGGAGACAAATGTGGTTGATGGATTGCAGTGCCTTTTTATTTTTTAGCATTCTTCATGACAGTTATGATGCTAGTTATGATGCTGTAATTTAGGTTTTCAACCTTCAAAACTCTAACACTCTCCGCCCTTCTCCGGTGAACTTTTCCGGAACTCATTTTTTTGATAAATATAACAGTTTTAGTTTCTGAAGTGCATCACATAGGTTCGTAATAAACAAACAAAGTGTTTTTTTTTTTTTAATTTCAAATTGTAGACCTTTCGCTGTGTTGTCCGCCAAAGACAGAAGACATGAATAGGGGGAGAACTGAAGGCATAACCTTTACGAAGGAACCTTTCATGGAGGATGCAGGGCCTCGGAAGATGTGAGCTTTGACTTGTGCTTGCTTATCATCATACAATACATTTGATTGTTGAAAAGAGATTGTTATTATTTTGTTCTTTCTTTATTGCAGAAAGAACATGATGTTCTCCACGTTATCAGATTCGGACATAAGCAAACTTGGTGAAGTTCAAGTGTGGAAAGGATCCTACTATGATTCCTTTAAGAAACCTATCCATGGTGGCTTGTTGGATCCTCGCATGGTACCCTTTAATTCCCTTTTGGACATTTTCACCTTCAATTCTGTTGATGCTTGTGCTTGATTTTCTTTTTGCATTTTTTAGATTTTGATATGATCATCATGCTACTTTAGTTGTAACATAGAATGTAAAATTAGTCCTTGTGTTCCGGGTCTAATTTGAAACTGTTTAGAATTTTCAACTGTGATGAAATTAATTTTTTTCCCTGTTTGTTGTTATTGTGTGATGGCAGATGCAACATTGGAATATTTGGTTTTGGAAGTTTCCCTGTAGTGGTTTATTTTCTTATTGTCTAGGTTATGTGGACGAGGAAATTGCCAATTTAATTTGGATGTGTGATTTTATGGATTATGAGTAATTGAACATGGGCTTATCTATGACTTTTATAGTTAACTTTGTATGACAAATATTTCTTTCGTCTCTTGACATTTTAGATTGTTTTCAGACATTTTCATTTATAATGCATATGTTTGATTTATCTTGCTTGTTTTGACAATGCTGTTCTTATTTGCTCTCAAATTATCTTTGATAGCTTGTATGTTTCCACTGCATTCTATCTTGTTTCACAGGGGAGACACACACATAATGTGAATATTATGAACTTCTTAAACTGGACTAAATGATTTTTCACTGCTAGTTTACTTTCTACTTACACGTTTTAGTGTTTTACACCTTAAATTTATGGAAATTGCTAGAATCCTATGGATTAGGTCTTGAATGTTGGTGTGTAGTTTGGATTTGGAAAATGTCTTTTTAGTTCTGCTTTAATGCATATGTATTTTTATTTTTCCTTCTCTCTTTTGATGTTATTTCCTACAGTTTCTTAAATACTGATATTGATTAGTGACCAACAAAAATCTATTTAATTGCTTTTGATTGTTAAGAAGTCTTGCCTTTAAGCCTCTATGAGAAGAGGTATCAGCAGACCTTTTCCTAGAATATGTTGAAGAATTCAGGTTGCCGTAATAGTCAGTTGGGTTTGGGTGATATTACTTTTTAGGACTTTCAAGCTGTTTATCATCATCTATGTACGTGTGTGTATATATATATTCTGCCCTACTGCTCATGTTTTTGCTCTTTTCATGCACAAAATGCTAAATACCTTTTATTTTTTTGCGTAATTCAGGGTCCTGCTAATAAGAGTCTTGGCTGTGCTACATGCCATGGGAATTTTCATGACTGCCCAGGACACTATGGATACTTAAACCTTGCCCTTCCTGTTTTCAATGTTGGATATTTAAGTAGCATTGTGGAAATACTGAAGTGCATTTGTAAGGTATCCAAATGTTTCATATGTGCTCTCTGGATTTTGGTTTTCCTTAATAGTCAGCACATCTCTTGTTTTATATCTCATTTAAATGGACTTATAGTTACTACTTATATATAATGCATATATGGATGGCATAATTTCGGAATGATTAGCTTTAGGAGATGACGTTTTCAAGTAATGTTAAGTTTCTGTTAGTAACAAACCTCCAATAAGGAGAGTTTATATAAGAAGAGGTCCAAAGTGCATTAAGGAGTAAAATCAGTTGTATACAAGAATAAGGAGGAGGAGAAATAGGATAGGGACAGATGTAAATATTATTGGATTGTATGGAGGGATCAGGATCTCAAATTCCTGTAACATATTCTTGTATCTTTTATTGCAGTAGGGATATTTTGTTCCTAACCTAGTGGATATAATAGAGATCCGTTCTTTCTTCTATGCCTTCTTTTGTATTCAATATATATTCCTTACACTGATATTCATAGTAAACAAATATGGGTGGCTTTTCATGGTTCACTCGAGAGTTGAAATTTAGAGAGGTGTTTTGAGATTCTGATGAAGAGACTTGTGGAAGATAGTCAAGA